TTTAAAAATTATAAACTTTAATCTAATTCTTAATTTTGGCTGTTGAAATTTTTGTTTCTGTAGCTGAACAGCATAAGATCGCAACGCTTAAAACTCTCTTGCCTTTTATGACTCGGCTAATTCCGCTCGTTCGCGGATTGCGCCCCKCGCGTCGGTTGGGCGGGAGGAGGGTAATCGTTGGGTATTATTATTATATGTATATTTATATCAGAAACATATAAAAAAAACTCTGAGTTAAAGAATATAAATAATTAATTTAATTTTTTTTTTTCAGAATTGAGAGCAACTCATTTACACCACTTCAACCGATAAAGTGTCAAAGTGCAGCCAACTCAACAACTTTAGAAGTTGTTATGTCTTTAAAGCCATCTGAAAGTGGTGATGTATTGGAGCAAACTATAGTATCAGCTGAATCAGTGAAAAACTTAGAATTTACTTCTACTGAACCGAAGTACGCTAAACAAAAAGTTGTTCCTTCGGCATCTCCAAGAAAGCGTATTCGTCACCGACGTACCAGTGTTCAGATGCCTGTAACGCAAAGTACAAGTGCTTATTCGCTACAGTTGACTGAGACTGATACGTCCGGACGTGTTACGCGACGTCGAAGCTCAATACACACCGCTGTTAACATGAGCTTAAGCAGAATAGATCCAAATACACCTGCTTCAAAATCGGATGTCAATTACTCAACATTTAGTCCAATACACGAAGAGAATAGAGAAGGCACGACTATGTCAGATGCTAATAAAGCAGCTAATCAGCAAAGTCCACGTGACGAGAAAACTCGCCAAAAAGGGAGACGGACAATATTTTCTTATAAAACTCCCGAAATCTCACCCCAAAAGAAAGCGAAAACGCCGAATCGACGCACACTATATACACCAAAACTTATAGAGGAATCCATATCTCAATTGGAAATATTAAAAACAAACGATTCATCAAAAGTACTAGACGAAAGCTTATTACGATTTGCTCTAACGCCAAAAACGCTATTAAACAGCAAAAGTAGCTCACAAGAAAATCTAAATAAAACCGATCCCGAGGTGGGTTCATTACTTGAAGATCATTCATCTACTATGGTGTTTAGTTCTACGCGCCTACCTAGCACCAATCGAAGACGTACGCTATTCGACGTTTCTATGGACATAATACAACAACGCCTACACAATATAAATAATTCTGCAAGACGATCAGTGGCAAAAGAATTAACTTACAATGATAAAAGTCCAAATGTGGTTTCATCTAAAATTAATATAGATTCGGCAGTAGCAAAGGACACAAGTAAGGGTGATCGCGAAAGCTATTCACAAATTACCCCAATAGCACCTACCCTTGCAAGTACAATTACAACACCCAAGACTGTTACAAAACGCAAATTATTTGTGCCAAATGATACTTCACTAATTTTATCTGCCAACCCCTCAGGATCAGTTAAGAAGAGCCCAAATGAAGCACGCGTAAAGCGTAGGCGAACCATGACAGCACAACCGAAAGAAAGGCGAGTAATGACAAAATCGCGCAAAAATATCACCGCTAATACGAAGTCACGCACAGAAGTTATTATCCCACCTTTGTCGACAGCACAGGTGTCGAATTTAACCAAAAGTGTCGCGCAGTCAGTGCCAATGCTAAGTAATAAATTAGACGATAGTGAAAATGAAAAAACATTAAAGATGTCGTCTACATCCCTACCTGCGACAGCAGTAAACACCAAAATAAGTGGATCGAGTACTACATTAAATGCCACTAGCGCTGCAAATGTACCAGTATCACAAGCATTTATTTTGAAGAACGAAGCCCATGTGATGACTGCTGCACCAGTACCAAAATTAAAAGGATCTTTTATGAGCATAATTTCAAGTAATACATCTGATACCACAGTCAAACAACAATTGCAACAAGATATGGGAGTAGATGAAAACATCGCAATAAATACGCCGTCCCTTACCACGGTATTATCACAAGCTTCTACTGCGCCGTCTATAGCAACTGAAAATCCGAAAATGACATCTACATCGGACTCAACTTTTCTCCCAACGAATCAAACAGCACCAAAAGTCGTTAAAAAATCACAAATGAGTGAAACACCAGACAAAGCGAAGGATGCAGTTGAAGTTGGGGCGTCGGGTTGTACGCTAATATCCAAAAATGCATCGGGTGGCAACAAAAAATGGCCATATATTGTATGCACGAACATGCACCGGGAACAGATCAAAGTTATGCGCGAGGTTCGTAAACAACGATAATTTTTTCTCCATTTTTTTTTTTTTTTTGTCAATTTCCATACTTCTCATTGCGCTGGCGCTGGCGTAACTTTAGTTTAGTAGTATGATTTATTTGTTTATATTTATTGTTTTTTGCGCTTTTCCGTTTTTTAATTAAATTGTAGTTTATTATTAAAATTTGATTTATGCTTTTACTTTTTTGAGTTAAATAGTTTCTCTTATAATTTTACTTGTAAGTTTAATTGGTTTTGCTCTTGATGAATAGTGGTTTTCATTAGCTAAAAGTATCTCACAAAATTGTACGAGTAGAATTAATTTAGTCTAGTTTTTAACAATACTGTATACAAACATTTGTACATTGACTGATAGTACACATCTAAAAAATATTATGAATTTAAAAAACCTACAACATTTACAAAATAAATGACTTGTACAAGAAAACCATTTTATTTTTATTTACATCATTATTTATATATACATATATATATTTTGCTGGATTTATAGTTGTTTCTAACACTTTTGTACTAATTTTATATTTGTACTCATAATTTTAGATGGATAGACAGAAGATAAACAAGGCTCAAGTTTTATGTTGTTTTTATTTTATTATTATTGAGGTCAAACGAAAATAAAGTTACACGTATAATTCCTTTGAGTAAAGTTTAGTTTATTTTACGCTCAAAACCATTTTTACCCCCTTCTTATCATTTCAATTTCTATTGACTGTTTTTTCGTTAATAAATTTTTATTTTATTAAATTGTATTTAGTGTTCCTATTTTGTTTTACATTTCCATTAAATACTGTACGATCCTCAAAATATTTTCTGTACAAACCACTTTTCTTTACTTTTAAAAGTAATGCTCTTCAATATGTAGAATTGATGTACAAGTTTTCTAATCTAATATTTCACATCAACGTACGTTATTAAGTTAGAAATATACTTGTTACAATACTACACTCAAATTTGAGGGTTATTTTTTATTTACTATAAGAGTTTAATTTTATTTTTAAAACTAATTATGCCTTCAAACGAAAGCAAAAAAATTAAGTTAATTTTTACTAAAATTTATGCATTTGGAAATTAATATTATTCTTCACCTCCTTCACTGGTGTTTTTCATAAAATTGTTTTTATACTCTCGCAACAAAGTTGCTAAAGAGAGTATTATAGTTTTGTTCACATAACGGTTGTTTGTAAGTCCTAAAACTAAAAGAGTCAGATATGCTTATATATACCAAAGTGATCAGGATGAAGATTAGAGTTGAAATCCGGATGTCTGTCTGTCCGTCCGTCCGTCCGTGCAAGCTGTAACTTGAGTAAAAATTGAGATATCATGATGAAACTTGGCACACGTATTTCTTGGCTCCATAAGAAGGTTAAGTTCGAAGATGATGGCGAAGATGGCTAAATCGGCCCACTGCCACGCCCACAAAATGCCGAAAACTTATAAAGTGTCATAACAGCCATAAATAAAGATATTAAAGTGAAATTCGGGGGTATATTTCCACGTAATTTTTTTTGGAAAGTGGGCGTGGCCCCGCCACGTTTTTTGTACATGTCTCGGAAACTACTGTAGCTATGCCAACCGAACTTTATAGAGTCGTTTCCTTCAGGCATTTCCATATATAGTTCAAAAATGGAAGAAATCAGATGATAACCACGCCCACCTCCCACACAAAGGTTATGTTGAAAATCACTAAAAGTGTGTTAACCGACTAAGAAAAAATGTGCACCCAGGCTTTTTTTAAAAATTTAAATTGGGCGTGGCGTCGCCCACTTATGAACCAAAAACCATATCTCGGGAACTACTCGACCGATTTCAATGAAATTCAGTATATAATAATTTCTTAACAAACTGATGATATAAACGAAATATGGGTGAAATTTGTTCACAACCACGCCTTCTTCCAATGTAACGCTATTTTAAATTCCATCTGATGCCTTCTCTGTATAACATATACATTAGGAACTAATGATGATAGCGGAATAAAACTTTACACAAATACGGTATTTGAGCTGAGGTATCCCTTGTGGAAAAATTGGCGTGATCGGACTATAATTTTTCAAGGTCCCTGATATCGAACACGAAGAACTCAGTGCATAATCTAACCTAACCTAATCTAATTAATTTTACAGCAAAATAAAAAAATATGTAAATAACGTATAATGAAATCTCGATTACCACTTTATCATGCGAGAGTATAAAATGTTCGGTGACACCCGAACTTAGCCCTTCCTTACTTATTACATTATGCGTTATAAGTGCGGTTGAGTCCCAGGGTCATAACCTTGTAACAGTTTTTGACTATTGATCATAATTTATGATCATTTCCACGTTGGTATTTCCTTTTCTATAGCATTATTCTGTGAGTATCCGTGATTAAGCTGCGGCGTTCCGCTCTTGTCCCATGTCTTTTATATTGTCCAACGTTCATTTGAGAACAAAACATTTCTCAATTTCAATACCATACAATCAATATAAGCATATACAATCTTCTGTCAAACTTTTATATATTTTGTTGAAAAGAATTTCTATTTAGATGGCAATTGGTTGAAAACCCATTTTTCAAAAGGTCGTATTTAAAATGTTCATAACATAAATTTACTTAGCAAATTCGAACAAATTGCTACGAATCCTGATGTGACCAAGGACAGTGAACTCTGAAGTATTCCTAAATATTTTTTAGGTATTTACAATAATTAAAAATTTTAGATGGACCAACTCAACTGAGTTTGGAACAGTAAAGACTGGCAATCTCTTCCATGAATAAACTCACAAGTACAAAGTGTATTCGGTAAATGGTTCAATTATGTATTATTATGCTTAGAAACAACATTTCCTTCGTGCTTTTTTGCAATTAGTAAGTATTCCAATGATGCGTATGTACATGCATACATATTATATTTATGTACATATATAAATTTGAATTACTATTCGGTAACAGTCTTAAGTAAGAACTAATTTATGTCAGTAATTAATATCTCAGTCATTCTCAAATACATACATACGTATACACTTGCGTTATTTAATCGGAATTCCTTTTTAATTGCTTATATTCATACCTTGGTTTAACATATAGGCTATCGCTGAACTTGGTGGCCTTCAACTGAATCACTGCGTTAACGACGATACCACGCACGTGGTGAGTTACGAGCCGCGTAGGACGCTGAACTTATTAAGGGGACTAATACGCGGCCTGTGGATACTAGACTACAAATGGGTGCTGGACTCACTGAAAGCTGGCTGTTGGTTAAATGAGGAAGAATATGAATTAAGAGTATTTTCACGCGCCATTGAGGTAAATACAAAATGTGAAACCAATAAATAAATAACCTCTTATTATAACAAAAAATATGAATTATCCTAGATATGTCGTACAGAACGACAGGCTTTCGGCAATACATACAAATGTGAACTATTTGCGGATTTAGGTACATTTTATATATCTTCGCGCTGTGGCCCAATCTCAAAAGAAAATCTAAAGGAGTTAATTGAACTATGCGGCGGCAAAGTGGTAGATCATCGCAAACGTGCCAAATACATACTCGGTGATCCACACAAAACATTGGAAGATAAAGTCTATGTAACTCCATTTTGGGTATTAGATAGCATAACACATATGCAAGTGATGCGCCAACAAAAGTATACCTATGTTACCACCACAGTTGTTAAGGCGCAGCCACCATTACCGCAAGTAAATGTTGAGCCTGCTGTTTCTACGCCACCTGTTGTATCTAGCTGAGCATATTTATAAACAATATAGTGATGTAGTAGCCATAATGCAATCTTAGCACATAGTATTTTAGTCAATAAAATAGTAATAATCATGCTTTTTTTAATGAAATAAAATTGTAGTCAGAATGAAAAACGATTATTTGAAATTGTATTTCAAAGAATTCTGGTGGAAATATTTACTTAATTCTATTTCTGATTTGTATGTTTTTGACCTAGCATTATCCAAAATGAGCACAAAGTAATATTCATTAAAAGCTTAAGCGAACGTAAAATCAAACCTTAAGGGATACTGCCAACATATGAATTTTTTAAATATTGTCTAATTAGAACGAATTGCTGCCAATAACTCGACCATTCCAATTCCGTATACATGGGGCTGTTCTAATTTCACTGATGGATGACTTCCAATATTGTATATTTAAAACTAAAAGGATTGACTACTAAAGCTAACATCCTTGGAGCATATTAGTTGACGTACCAAATGGAAATTTTTGTAAAGGCGTAATTCGGTAGTTTTTTTTTTGCAGACTTTGGTCATATAAAAAAAGAATTTAACTACCGTAACGGTTTTAGGTTACAAAAATGTTGCTACTTCACAAAGGTGTCGGCCATATGTATGGGATGATAAAATTGCATTATGGCTAGTTAACGAATATTTTATTCGAAAATTGGCTTGAAAGTCCGAAAATCGAGTTACAGAATATAAAAAATACGAATTCGAGTAAATTTTTTTCGAATCGAGTTACAGAATAGGCCCCCTGACTTACCGAGGTGACCAGTTATCGACACCCCTAATTCTTATTGGCTCTTACATCAACAATTAAGCTCCCATCAACATCAGCCGCAACTATCGCAACCAGCGTATAGCTATTCTCAGTGATAGTCAAGCGGCACTAAAAGCGATCTCATCCCACGAGACCAAATCGCTTCTAGTCGAGGAATGCGTAGAACGGCTAAACCGCCTGTCCTTGTGCAACCGGGTGCACCTAATGTGGGTACCAGGGCACAAGGGAGTAGAAGGTAATTAGAAGACCGACGAACTGGCCCGCACTGCAGCAGCGTCAAAGATGTTGGGACCGGAGCCATACATAGTGGTAGGACGCCACACTCTTAAAGAGCTCCTCCGCACGGAGGAGAGAGTGGAGAGAGAACGGCACTGGCGACAGGCAGCAAGTATGCACCACGCCAAGCTGCTTCTAGTAGGATACAACCTCCCCCGATTTAAAGAACTAATTCACCTCCCCCGTGAAAAATTCCGCCACCTCGTCGCAATCTACACAGGGTACTGTAAGCTCAGCAACAGGAAACACCAGCACACCTAATCCTGGATTGCTCAGCAATCTGTGGAAAAAGGCTTAAGGCCCTAGATTCTGCTTACATCAGCAGGGACACATCACCTCAATAGCGCCCAGCAAACTTCTAGAACTATTCAGGCTGCTGGGGTTCTGGGAGGTCAAATTGATATAGGAGAGGGCACAATAGACCTTAGGTCGCGGTGCATTACCTCAAATAATATTCTATTCTATTCTAAGCTCCCATACTCCGGTTTGTTTTGTATATTACTATTAAACCTAAACCAAACAGAACTAGATTTGTTCGAACAACCACACATCAGAATTAAAAAGTATACCATTTTACAAAGCAGTTTTTAAAACATTTTCTTTTTACCATCCATCATAGTGGGACGTTTATTTAAACTTTATTCAACTTTGTTAAGTTTACAATACTTTTCTGGGCATCGTTTTGTTTTGTGATCGTTGGTTGTAAGGTGTTTCGTTTTATATAAAACTGCGTCTTCGTATTTGTACTCTATGTTACTGTTAAAATGTACTGTTGAAATTAAATGCAATGCCATTGTTCAATCGGGAAGAAAAATAAAAAGGGAAGGGGAGCACCAACTCAATAATACTGCCGACTAAAAAAAAAATATAACTAAAAAGAACTAAACAAATATTCCAATTCCCTTCACTGTATAAATAGAATACATCCGATTTTTTTTTTTTTTTTTTAAAAAAAAAAAAATACAAAATTGTGGTTTTATTTTTTTAAATAGTGGTTCATTTTATATTATGCTTTTGAATGTTCTTAAGAAAAGCAATAGTATTGTGCTTTAAACGCTACAGAGAAGAGATGGAATGAATTCCAACAAATAATTAAACATTAAAAGTAATTATAAAACTAAAGATACAAATGCTGATGTGCTTAAAAAGATGTTTCGTATTTCTGCCGTCTTGTGTAGGTGTAATGGCTATTGTGCATGTTTATGTGTTTGTGCCTACCATATTGTATATATTTTGACAGCGCCGAAGGCACACTTTCGTTTCCTACGAAACTCTTTCCGATGGAAGCAATGGAACTTTTGATTAATCATTAATGTTAAATTCAGTTGGAACACCGCTCCGTTTTCCTTACTGTTGCTGATTTTTTGACTATTGTTACTATCGTACTTGGAATTTATTAAGCTGTTGTTGTTGCTATTGATTTTGTTTATTAATAATTGTTGGTCTTTATCGTCGTTAGTACGCAGCTACTTCTTGCCCTTGGTGGCCTTTTCGGCGGCCTTGGTTACTTTACCACCAGAGGCATCCTTGAAGTTCACACTCTTGATGACACCGACAGCAACAGTCTGTCTCATATCACGCACAGCGAAACGACCCAATGGGGGGAATTCTTGGAAAGATTCAACACACAATGGCTTGGAGGGCACCAAGTTAACGATGGCAGCATCACCAGATTTGATGAATTTGGGGTTTTCTTCGGTGGTCTTACCAGAACGGCGATCAACCTTTTCTTCGATTTCAGCAAACTTGCAGGTAATATGGCAATTGGCAATTGGACCAGGGTGATTTCAACACAATAACCTGGGCGGTAAAATCAGCAGCACCCTTAGGGGGGTTTGCCTTAGAATCACCAGCGACATAACCACGACGCAATTCCTTAACGGAAACGTTCTTAACGTTGAAACCAACGTTGTCACCGGGAACAGCCTCTGGCAAAGCTTCGTGGTGCATTTCVACGGACTTAACTTCAGTGGTGATGTTCGCTGGGGCGAAAACAACGACCATACCGGGTTTCAGTATTCCAGTTTCAACACGACCGACTGGTACTGTTCCAATACCACCAATTTTGTACACATCCTGGAGTGGCAGACGGAGGGCCTTGTCGGTTGGGCGAGATGGGGGCAAAATAGCATCAAGGGCATCGATAAGTGTCTTGCCTTCAGCATTACCTTCCTTACGTTCAACCTTCCATCCCTTGAACCATGGCATGTTGGTTGATGCTTCCAGCACGTTATCACCATGCTAGCCAGAGATTGCCACGAATGCAACAGCAGCTGGGTTATAACCGATCTTCTTGATGTATGAGGATACTTCCTTCTTGATTTCCTCATAACGAGCCTCACTGTATGGTGGTTCAGAAGAATCCATCTTGTTGACACCAACGATCAGTTGTTTCACACCAAGGGTGAAAGCAAGAAGAGCATGCTCACGAGTCTGACCGTTCTTGGAGATACCGGCTTCGAATTCACCAGTACCAGCGGCGACAATCAACACAGCACAATCAGCCTGTGAGGTACCAGTGATCATGTTTTTAATGAAATCTCTGTGGCCAGGGGCGTCGATGATGGTGACGTAGTATTTGGAGGTTTCAAACTTCCACAAGGCGATATCGATGGTGATACCACGCTCACGTTCGGCCTTCAATTTATCCAAAACCCAGGCGTACTTGAAGGAACCCTTGCCCATTTCCTGAGCTTCCTTCTCGAACTTCTCAATTGTACGCTTGTCAATACCACCACATTTGTAGATCAAGTGACCGGTGGTGGTCGACTTTCCAGAATCGACGTGTCCAATAACGACGATATTAATATGAACCTTCTCCTTACCCATTTTCCTTTTTTATGAGCTAATGCAACATAAAAACATTGGGAAGTGGAATGTTACATTCGTGGTTGGGTGTTTCATGGGACGATAAGCAGGTTTTCAGGTGAAAAGGATGAAAATAAAAGTTGGGTAAAACATAAATATAATTCGTTAGCAAAGTGTAATGGAATTTTAAAGTTAATTGTTAAATATGCTAAATAATCAAGAAATATTTTAATTTATTTCAAACGCAATTTGCAAATTTGTTGTTTTCAAATATAAAATGTTACTACATACAAAACCGAACAGATGAGAATCACAATCTCCGTTTAAGATTAGCAACAGTTTAGGGTTTAGGGGGGGAGGAAACCGACAATAATAAGTTTCCGGCGTCAACACGAATGCTTTCGTCTTACTGTGCAACATAACCTCAATCGGACAACGTGGTCTTTCACATGTCGCTACACATGCCGGAAATTGAGGTTATTTTGCCATGCTTGCTTTGGAATTATGATTCAACTTTAAATGTGTAAGATGTATAATACATTAGAATAATGTATGCGAGGACAAATCATGCAATAGTTAAAAATATATAGTTATACAATTTTGCAAATTGGTCTTTGTTTTAAATTTATGCTTTCGTTTCCTAGCTTTTATCAGTGTTTTTTTGGTATTTTTTTTATCGTCAAAGGTACTCAGTAGCAGAACTGATAGAAGTCATCATAAAAAACACTAGGAAATGATTACATTTATATTTTAAAGTACTCATTCGATTAACAAATGTGCATCAGGAAGAATTTAATTAACCATTTTAGAAAAGATATTATGAAGTTTTTCCATTTGTGCTTATTCATTATCATACAAATTGTAAAATGCCGGTTTAAATAAACGAAAGGTGTGATGAAAAAATGGCGTCTTCGGTTCGTTACTATTGCTTCGGCTAAATAGAAATTGCCAGTAATCGCCGACTCCAACTCGACTCATCAAATTTTCTGACATGGCGGCCATCTTGGAAACTAAAATCGTTCCACTTTACGAAAACCCCAACCGGCTTTTAATCTTAACTTTTGCGTTTAACTGTAATAAATTTTCATGCCAAACTTTTGGACAGACATTATAGAAACTTACTACGAAATGTGGCACATCTCATGTTTAAGCAACCTATAAAAACCAACCAGAGTTCAATAGTCGCCATTTTGTAATTTTCAGTAATATAGAGAAATATATGTACCGAACTGCTAACCCTCGTCGATGACTTTAATTTGTACATATATGTGCGCAATTTCATACGCAACACAGTTTTATTACTAAGTGCATTTGAATTTCACAATTGTATCACCTATATAATTCAAAATGGGCGTTGTCGACAACAAAGTAGTGGTACAATTTCACATTTTTCGTAAAAGTAATTGCAGCACATTTGAATGCCACGTGTTTATTTTTTTTTTTTAACCACTTTTACTTCACTACTTGACATACGCACTCTTTGTTGCTATGTAAACCTATTGCACACCGATTTACGATTCCCAATTTTAAAAGTAATTATCTCCCATATTAAATGCACAACTATTCTTTTGTTTACTAATAAACAATCAAATATTTTTGCACCATGCACCAATCCAGATACACATTTGTTAAATAGAATGCACTTCACTATCTTCATTTGTATCAAAATTATAACTTACTTTTCAAATAAACTGAATCGAGAAATCACTGAAGTCTATGCTGATCCGCCAACAGACTTGAACAAAGTGAACGAGAAACTCGTCGTGAACGAAAGATATGCCTCCCTTCGTCTTTCCAGTGCCACGTTGACGACAGGGTTGACTTGCTACTTTTTATTCCATATAATTCGCATTATTTTTGGTAGCGAAGTTCATAAATATTCAGAATTATAAGATATAAAATTAATGGATCAAAAATTGTTATAACAAATTCATACATTTTAACTATATTTTAATAAAAATTTTGCTGGATAACATACAAAAATTAGTTACGCATGTACAATTCTCAAATCTCCGTTTTCGGTTCGTTATAACTTATCTTATGAGACTATATGTAACCCAAAAATATATTTTTTCGGACCAATCAAAAACTTTAGTAGACATGAAAAATTTTTTCAATAATTACGGGTAATGCAATATGATAGAGTAAATAAAATGCCTGAGTCGTGATTGAAAACATGTAATTTATTAAGCACATCCAAATATTATTTCTTCTATTTAATAGATAAATAATTACGTAGTAGCAACATGTAATATTTAATATTATATCTTATGAATACAATTTTTATAAATAAATAAGTAATACATATTTATGCTAAACTGTATGACCAACTTCATTGCTACATACATGTACAATGAAGTTCTTTAACTGTACTGTCGCAATAAATAGCAACAGTGCTTTTAGTACACTATCCCTGGAAAATTTACAGACTTTACTGTGCAATCCTGGGGATAAGCTTCCGGTATTTCTATTCTTACATAAATTTTTTTTTTCTAGTCGGCTATTACACGAAGCAACTTTTGTTGCTGATTCTCGGGCGATTCTCTTTTGCTGTCGCACATTACCTTCACACGAGCAACTTGTGTTGCGCAACTCTGTTCGAGTTTTTTTCACATTCTCTTTCACTTTCCTTTAGCCCACTGACGTTTCTTTTTCCTTATAGGTATTTGGGCCACTCTATCACATATATTAATAAGTTCTGTCAATTAAGAAATACTTTTTATTTCTAATTCAAAATTAAAACAAAGGTTATATAACAGATCTCACTATCGTCTGAATCAATTTGTATAGCTTCCTCCATACACTTCACAATACCTTTAATTAATTCGATTTTTTCGCCATACTCCATTTTCTAAAATATTTACATTATTATGTATATTTGTATACATATTAGCAAATTACGTACCAAAAGATGAAATTAAACGCAAATGCAACTATGTACTACGAAAGAAAGAACACGAATGCAGAAAAACGTCGCAGCGAACTGTTTCGAATAAGAACACAAAGCGAGTTGCTGAACACTGGAAACTCGGCGCGATTCTCCTCTCCTCGTCGCCCCCTCGCCTATAAACCAAGAGTTGCCGCAACAAAAGTTGCTTCGTGTAATAGCCGCCTAATGAACTTAGATAATTCATCTGCATGTTTGGTATCGATAAAATCATACGTTTGCTATAGCCCTGATAGCTTCAGCAGTCCTAAACGCTACTGTCTTCCTTCCTTAGCGCGCAAATGTGTGAACAGTCGCGCCCGTGGCAAAAACGCAGAAATCAAGCATCTTTGTTTTTTTTTTCATTTGAACAATATTGACATTGCTCAATACGCATATATAGTTTTGTACACATCTATGATTTCAATTACAATTGTTTATCATATAAAATATCAAAACAGAAAACAAACTATTAAAAATAGTTTATATATTTATAAATAATAGCATTCGATTTCAAACATATTAAAGACAACTTTTATTATTACTACTGTATATCGAAATTGCCAACCCTGCGTTGTGAGAGAGCAATCAGCTGACACGTTTCTACGGCAAAAACCAAAATTCGCACGGATCCTACGTCAAAGAGAGAAGGTAGTAGTGTTTGTCACTGTTCACTTACATTGTGCGCCCATAAGATGGGTCGTATCAGCTGACACGCGCCATGATTCTACGTTCTACACTATTTTTGCTATGACAGACGAGCAAAATTAATATTTCACAATCAGCTGTCTAAATGCACAAGCATTAATCAACGCTAATGCGCATAGAAATTTTATGGTGACAGACGGCAGACTTGTGCATTTAGACAGCTGATTGTGAAATTTGTTTATTTATTTAAAAAAAGTGATATACGAATGAATAACATAAATTATTATCACAAATTTTGGTATTTTTGGAAAATCAATATAAATTTAACGAAAAAATACGTTTATTATTAAGATAATAGAGTGAAATTAAAAGCAATAATTGATTGTAATGCGGAAAAAGTGTGCGAAAAAAATTAAAAATATTGAAAAAATGGATAGCAAACTGTGCGTTGTTTATTTTCTGCCATCTAAAAATATTAAAATTTGTTTTTGGTAATATACTTGCACAGGAGGATGGAGTCATGTGTAGAAGTTCACGCAAGTGAGGAAAGTTTTCTGATTGCCATTCACTTGGGAGTGGCCAGAAACGATTGTTTTACATATGACTCAACCAGCTCACGACCTAAGCCTAAGAACATCCGTTTGAAGGTGAGCTAAAGTGAGAAGGCGAAACATTCCCTGCATAGGGTTGTGCGCTGGGTTTGGGACCCGCCACGTAAAAAAACCACCCCAATGACAACGCA